AGAGATCTCTGAACCCGGTGGGCAGGTGAGGTTGCAGTGAGCCGCAGCATCGGCTTTGCCATTGCACTCCAGCGCTGAGCCAACAACAGCCCGGAAAACTCGAGGCTCTCGGTGCATGTGTTAATTTTTGTATTTTTAGTAGAGACGGGGTTTCGCCATGTTGGCCAGGCTGGTCTTGAACTCCTGATCTCAAGTGATTCATCTGCCTCGGCCTCCCAAAGTGTGGGATTACAGGCGTGAGCCACTGCACCTGGCCTATTTTTATTTTTTTAGAGACAGGATCTCACTTTGTCACCCAGGCCAGAGTGCCATGGTGTGATCATAGCTTACCATAGCCTTGTACTCCTGGGCTCAAGGGATCCTTCTGCATCAGCCTCTCACTTCATTTTGATAAGTGAAGAAGTAGGCTTACAGTGGTTATATGAGTTCCAAGGTTTGTTTGATTCTAAAGCCTTTTAAACCTCAACCACTTTGCTTTCTAAGGTGCTGAAGCCTGGATTATTAATAGCACTTTAAACCACGCTTTTTGTGATAGGCTTGTTCACTAGCCACATAGTAATAAACTGGAGCCCGATGGAAAGCACTCCTAATTGATAAGGTGGGAAGACAAAGGCCCGACAGAGTTTGGTGCCCTACAATCTCCATCCCCACACAAGGAAAACCACTTGGAAATTACAGACTTCCAATCTTCTAAACATCTTATTTTTAAAAACTGGCTTACTGTAATAGATCCTAAGGGAAATAATTGGGCTTTGTTATCCCATGCACAAACAAACCAATAGTTTTAGACATAGTCATCCGTGGTATTGGGTACCGTAATTGAAGTCATAGAGGTTGAAATAACGTTGATGACAAGGAGTTCTTTCTCCTAACTCTGTAGCCCTGTGATGGCCTCTTAGTGCTTTATAGACTCTGAAACTTCTCTCTTGGGATTCAGTAGTCTCATTCACTTGAACACATCAAATGACTGTGGGTTCCAGAAGATAACTTTGGATTGTCAGAATATTTATACTTGGAAGTCCAGGCAAGTAATGCAAATGAGTCAATAAGTGATTGAAGTGGGAGTGATGGGGATTGTGAGCTCATGTCCCGTCTTCATGGGGTAGTCGAGAGTTGGCTGTAGCTCACTGTTGCCATGAGTCCTCAGATATTCTAATTTTTCTATTTAAAAAAATTTTTTAAAAATTTTGTTTTTTGAGACAGAGTCTCGTTCTTGTTGCCCAGGCTGGAATATAGTGGTGCAATCTCAGCTTACTGCAACCTCTGCCTCCTGGGTTCAAGTGATTCTCCTGCCTCAGCCTCCCAAGTAGCTGGGATTACAGGCGCCCTGTTGCCACGCCGGGTTAATTTTCGTATTTTTGTAGAGATGGGGTTTTGCCATGTTGGCCAGGCTGGTCTCGAACTCCTGACCTCAGGTGATCTGCCAGCCTCAGCCTCCCAGAGTGCTGGGATTACAGGCGTGAGCCACTGCGGCCAGCCTAAAATATTTTTTTAGAGACAGGGTCTTACTCTGTTGCCCAGGCTGGTCTCAAACTCCTGGTCTCAAGCAGTTCTCCCACCTCAGCCTTTTGAGTAGCAGGGATTACAGGTGTGAGCCACTGTACTTGCTGGCCCGCTTTTCTTTCACTGAATTGCAGACCCAGATTTTAAATCTAATTTTGAGAAGCAAATGGGTGTTGGGCATGGTTTTTCTATCTATGCATTGAGTTGGCTATAGGGCCAAAAACTCATTTTTGCCAATGACTGTAATGCAGCATGTTCTAAAGCTAGTTGACTTGTAATTTCTTCCACAAATATTGGGCTTTTACTGAATCACTTTTCTGTAAGGTAGTATCTCTAGTCACAAAGGATTTAAACATGATGAGGTTCTTTATTTTAGTACATTTTGACTTAATCTTCTTTTAATTACTTTTTCTTTATGTTACAGGCATATAGTTGGAAGGAGAGGGGACACTAGGAAGAAAATAGAAATGGAGACCAAAACTTCTATTAGCATTCCTAAACCTGGAGAAGACGGGGAAATTGGTGAGACTCACTACATATAAGTTACATTTGAAGTCACTTTTGCATGTTTATGGAATAATGTAACCAACTGCAGGGTTTAGTAACTATGTTTTCTGTGGGGTTCTATAGCTATGGGCTTTTTCTTTTTTTTTTATTTTGACTCGGAGTTTTGCTCTTGTTACCTAGGCTGGAGTGCAGTGGCACGATCTCGGCTCACTGCAACCTCCGCTTCCCGGGTTCAAGTGATTCTCCTGCCTCAGCCTCCCTAGTAGCTGGGATTACAGGCATGTGCCACCACACCAGCTAATTTTGTATTTTTAGTAGAGACGGGGTTTCTGTATGTTGGCCTGGCTGGTCTCGAACTCCTGACCTCAGGTGATCCTCCCCTCTTGGCCTCCCAAAGTGTTGGGATTATAGGTGTGAGCCACCATGCCCGGCCAGCTGTGGGCTTTTTTATGTTTTATCAGTACCAATCTCCCAAATGAGGAAATATAGAATTATATAACCTTATCTTGATTGAGTACCTGGGCCTTAGTTTTACACTTTACCATACATCGATGGAATAAAACTTCCAGATTTCACTGTGTATTAGGAGATTTCTTTTTATGCTTTGGTACTTTGAAATGGACTTGTGAATTGTTTCCAGTTAGAATTAGAGAAAAATCAATGAGATCAGTGAATATGAAATGGAGTTCAGCCTTTTCCATTGTGTTCTCAGTTTTTTACCCTTCGATTTTATAGACCAGAAAGGAAATTATAAGAGTAATGATTAAAATAATGTAACTTGACTCAAATAACTGTTCTGATAAGGAAAAATAGTTTAGCAGTATAAATCAAGTTAGAAAGTGTCTGTACCAAGCCTCGGTGTGAACCAAGGGCATAGGCTTTTGTTGTACAATGGCTTTGAGTGAGGGACATTGTTAGGACAAAACTGTAAACTCATTCTGGAAGGATGGAATTTTTTTTTTTTTTTTTTTTTTTTTTTTGATTTTTTTTTTTTTTTTTTTTTTTTTTTGAGGCAGTCTCACTGTTACCCAGGCTGGAGTGCTGAGGTGCAATCTCAGCTCACTGCAACCTCTGCTCCCCAGGTTCAAGCGATTCTCCTGCCTCAGCCTCCCGAGTAGCTGGGACTACAGGCGTGTGCCACTGAATCCAGCTAATTTTTGTATTTTTTGGTAGAGACAGGGTTTTGCCATGTTGGCCAAGCTGGTCTCGAACTCCTGGCCTCAAGTGATCCTCCCACCTTGGCCTTCTGAAGTGCTGGCATTACAGGTATGAGCACCGTGTCCGGCTGATGGAACTTTTTTAAAGTCAAAGAGTGCAGCAACCTCCAATAATTCATTAACCCATTTTCTTTTTCTTTATTCATTTAAAAATTTTTATTTATTTTTTATCGAGACAGGGTTTCACCATGTTGCCCAGGCTGATCTTGAACTTTTGGTCTCAAGTGATCTGCCTGCCTCAGCCTCCCAAGGTGCTGGAATTATAGGCATGAGCCACCATGCCCAGCCTTTTAGTCCTTTATTTTATTTTTTGGGGGGACAGAGTCTCTGTTGCCCAGGCTGGAGTGTAGTGGCATGATCACAGCTCACTGCAGCCTCTACCTCCTGGACTCAATCAATCCTCCCATCTCAGCCTTGCACAGCTGGGACTACAAGCACGTGCCATCACACCTGGCTAATTTTTGTGTAGTTTTTGTAGAGACAAGATTTTGCTACGTTGCTCAGGCTGGTCTCGAACTTCTGCACTCAAGCGATCTGCCTGCCTTGGCCTCCCAAAGTGTAGCATGTCGCCCAGGCTAGAGTGCATTGGCTCCATCATAGCTCACTGTAGCCTTGAACTCCTGTCTCAAGCAATACTTTTCCCTCAGCCTTCCAAGTAGCTGGGACTACAGGCACTTGCCACCATGCCCAGCTAATTTTTAATATTTTTTTGTAGAGATGGGGTCTTACTATGTTGCCCAGGCTGGCCTTGAACTCCTGGGCAGAACGATCCTCCTTGGCCTCCCAAAGTGCCGGGATTATAGACATGAGTCACTGCACTCAGCCTCATTTTCCATAATTGTTAATAGACTGTATTGTTTTTGCAGAAAAAATTGTAAGTACTCTTTTTCATTTTATGTTATGTAAGAATGATCACCTTGACTGGGGACAGTGGCATATACCTGTTAGGCCAGCACTTTGGGAGACTGAGGTGGGAGGATCGCTTGAGCCCAGGAGGTTGAGGCTGCAGTGAGCTGTGTTCATGCCACCACACTCCAGCCTGGGTGACAGAGCGAGACCTTGTCATACACACACACACACACAAAAACAATCACCTTGACAGCAGATAAGTAGCAACTGACTTTACAGCAGTGCTGTCCAAAAGAACTTTCTGTGATAGTGAGGATGTTCTATATCCGTGCTGTCTAGCACAGGAGCTGTATATGTCAGGTACTGGTCACATGTGACTTTGAGTATTTGGAATATTGCTAGTGTGACAGGAACTGAGTTTTTACTTTTACTGAATTCTGATTAACTAGCTGCATGTGGGCTCCCATATTGACCAGTGCAGTGACAGTTTTCTCTAGCTCCTTGGTAATGTCAGCAAACTCGAGCATTAGAACTTTTAACATCATTTGGAAGGACTTTTGTTAAAGTAAACGTTCAGTTTATTAGAATTATAAGTGCAAAAGTTTATTTTCCTTAAGTTGTAACGTTCGAGTTACAAATACCAAAGTCATTTTATAATTGCATTAAACCTTACTTCATCTATTTATTTTTATTTTTATTTTTTGAGACGTCGTTTCGCTCTTGTTGCTCAGGCTGGAGTGCATTGGCGCGATCTCGGGTCAGCACAATCTTGGCTCACTGCACCCTCTGCCTCCTGGGTTCAAGTGATTCTCCTGCTTCAGCCTACCAAGTAGTTGGGATTACAGGCGTGCGCCATCATGCCTGGCTAATTTTGTATTTTTAGTAGAGATGGGGTTTCTCCATGTTGGTCAGGCTGGTCTTGAACTCCCAATCTCAAGTGATCAGCCAGCTTTGGCCTCCCAGAGTTGCTGGGGTTACAGGCATGAGCCATCACACCCGGCCCTAATTTTTTCTTATTATAAAATTAGTACATGCTTTCAAAAAAGAGAAAGCTTGCAGAAATTATATATAAGTTATAAATGGAAGTCTCTTATAATATTAACCCCAAACATAATTGCTATTAACACTTGTTATATGTTCCCTGTTTTTTCTATCTGTGTAGTAAGTTATATAATATTTTTTATTGCAGTAAAATTATAACGTGGTGTAAATCTGGAGACCCTAGCCATTTTAATATACTAGAGTCATTCCAGAACTTATCCAGAAAAGGGTAGACAGGCTATAAAGATTCCATTTCAACTTAGAAAGCACAAATGTTGCAGTGTGGAAAACGAGTGTGTCAGGCTGGGCTTGGTGGCTCATGCCTGTAATCCTAAAACTTTGGGAGGCCTAGGTGGGAGGATCACTTGAGCCCAGGTGTTCAAGGTCAGCGTGGGCAACATGGCAAAACCCCATCTCTACAAAAAAATACAAAAATTGGCTGGGTGTGGTGGCACGTGCTTGTAGTCCCAGCTACCTGGGAGGCTGAGGTGGGAGGATCTTTTGATATGGGAAAGTTGAGGCTGCTGTGAGCCATGATCACACAATGCACTCCAGACTGGGTGACAGAGCGAGACTCTGTCTCAAAAAAAAAGAAAAAACAAAGAAGAGAAAATAAAAACTAGGCAGGCGTGGTGGCTCACGCCTGTAATCCCAGCACTTTGGGAAGCCGAGGTGGGCAGATCATGAGGTCAGGAGATCGAGACCATCCTGGCCAACATGGTGAAACCCAGCCTCTACTAAAAATACAAAAATTAGCAAGGCATGGTGGCGTGCACCTGTAATCCCAGCTACTTGGGAGGCTGAGGCAGGAGAATCGCTTGAACCTGGGAGGCGGAGGTTGTAATAAGCCGAGATCGCGCTACTGCACTCCAGCCTGGGCGACAGAGCAAGACTCTGTCTCGAAAATAAAATAAAATAAATAAACTAGCTTATTGATTTTGTGCAGAAGTAAAGTATATAGAAAAACCAAATTTATTGGTTAGAGTAAATTGAGTTGTGATGTGAAGTCAAGTCTGCAGTTGCAGTGGTGTGATATTTGCTGTCATTTATCCATTTCTTTTGTGTCTCTTAAATTAGAGAAATCAGAGAAGGAAATGATCTAGTAGGTTTTAATCCTCTAGACAAGGATCTGGTCTTGTCTGTTTTGAAATCTCAGGCAATGGAACATCAGAAGCTTTTTTTGTTGTTGTTGTTGTAGTGACAGAGTTTCAGTAAATTGCCTAGGCTGTCTGGAACTCCTGGCCTCAGGCAATCCTCCTGCTCTGGCCTTTGCCCCAAAGTGCTGGGATTACAGGCGTGAGCATGCCTTGCCTTCTTTCTCTCTTTTCTTTCTTTCCTTCCTTCCCTTCCTTCCCTTCCTTCCTTTTCTTTCCTTTCTTTTCCTTCCTCCTTTCCTTTCCTTTTTCTTTCCTTTTTCTCTCTCTGTTTTTACTTATTTTGGGTATCCCTAAGGGTAGAATTTCTGGATTATATGGTAAGTATGTGTTCAACTTTTTTTTTTTTTGATACAGAGTCTAGTTCTGTTGCCCATGCTGGAGTGCAGGGGTTCGATCTCATTTCACTGCAACCTCCACCTCGCCGGTTCAAGCCATTCTTGTTCCTCAGCCTCCCAAGTAGCTGGGATTACAGACATGTGCCACCATGCTCAGCTGATCTTTGTATTTTTAGTAGAGACGAGGTTTTGCCATATTGGCCAGGCTGGTCTTGAACTCCTGACCTCAAGTGATCTGCCCACCTCAGCCTCCCAAAGTGCTGGGATTACAGGCGTGAGCCACCGCACCCAGCTGTGTTCAACTTTTTAAGGAATTACCAAACTTTTTCATAGTGACTACACCATTTTACATTCCTGTCAGCAAGGGTTTGCTTTGTAGTATTTGAATTCATTTTTCTACTTTATATGCTGTCTTAAGGGTATTCTATTTTTAAGCCTCATTCTGCTTACATTGAATTAATTAGCAGTTTTCTTTGTTATTGTCTCCTGTTTAGATTCATATATGCATTCAGAACTGCTTTAGCTTCTCAGAAATGACAGTATCAAGAGGTCCCATATTTTATAAGCATTTGGGGGTCCTTGAGCATGTTTACCCTTTGTTCTTTGTTTACAGTAATCACTGGCCAGCATCGAAATGGTGTAATTTCAGCCCGAACACGGATTGATGTTCTTTTGGACACTTTTAGAAGAAAGCAGCCCTTCACTCACTTCCTTGCCTTTTTCCTCAATGAGGTTGAGGTTCAGGAAGGATTCCTGAGATTCCAGGAGGAAGTACTGGCGAAGTGCTCCATGGTAAGCACACACAAAACAAGAAGGTAAAAAAAAATATATATAAAAAGAATACAAAAATGGTTCATAAATCAAACAGTAGGGAGTTATAAACTTCTTCCCTCAACAGAAAAGATAACTATTTCTTATGACTTTGTATAATATTGAACTGAAAAAAAAGTGTATGGACATATCAGCTCATAAGTTTCTGTATATTACAGAAATGTCTTTAAAAAATTTTAGCACAGGCTGGGCGGGCTCAATCCCAGCACTTTGGGAGGCCGAGATGGGCGGATCACGAGGTCAGGAGATCAAGACGATCCTGGCTAACGTGGTGAAACCCCGTCTCTACTAAAAAAAAATACAAAAAACTAGCCGGGCGAGGTGGCGGGCGCCTGTAGTCCCAGCTACTCGGGAGGCTGAGGCAGGAGAATGGCGTAAACCCGGGAGGCGGAGCTTGCAGTGAGCTGAGATCCGGCACCGCACTCCAGCCTGGGCGACAGAGCGAGACTCCCTCTCAAAAAAAAAAAAAAAAATTTTTAGCACATATCGGGCTGGGTGCAGTGGCTCACACCTGTAATCCCAGCACTTTGGGAGGCTGAGGTAGGCAGATCACTTGAGGTCAGGAGTTCGAGACCAACCTGGCCGACGTGGTGAAACCACGTCTCTACTAAAAATACAAAAAAAATTAGCTGGGCCTGGTGGTGCGTGCCTGTAATCCCAGCTACTTGGGAGGCTGAGGCAGGAGAATTGCTTGAACCTGGGAGATGGAGGTTGCAGTGAGCCAAGCAGTGAGCCAAGATCGTGTCACTGCACTGTAGCCTGGGAGACAGAGTGAAATGCCATCTCAAAAAAAAAAAAAAAAAAAATTTAAGACACAAAATGCTCATCCTAATAGACACACTATTCTGCATCTTTTGGGTGGTAATGTTAATGAGATACCATTATCTGTAGATCTTCTGCCTTTGGGCAGTCATGGCTCATTTGAGATTAGTAACTAAAAGACAAATTTGCATATAGAATTGCCATACTTAGATAACAGTGAAATGCTTGTGACCAGGATAATAGCAGATAATCCAGATTAGAAAACAAGTTTTAAACTCATTTTGGGTATCAGTTAGTTGATTTTAAAAAATGTATATTGATTCAAAAAAATGTATGAAAGCAATATATGTTTATTATGGAAAATTTAGAAAATACAGAAAAGATTAATAAAAAATCATCCATAATTCCACTACTGAGAGATGCTGTGACATCATTACTATATATGTGTGTGTATCAGTGTGTCTGTACACTCACATACTTTTTTTTTTTTTTTTTGGAGGCAGCGTTTCATTCTTGTTTCCCAGGCTGGAGTGCAATGACTCATCTCAGCTCACCGCAGCCTCTGCCTCCCAGGTTCAAGGAATTCTCCTGCCTCAGCCTCCTGAGTAGCTGGTATTATAGGCATGCGCCACCAAGCCTGGCTAATTTTGTATTTTTAGTAGAGATGGGGTTTCTTCACATTGGTCAGGCTGGTCTCGAACTCCTGACTTCAGGTGATCTGCCCTCCTTGGCCTCCCAAAGTGCTGGGATTACAGGCGTGAGCCACTATGCCTGGTCCACTCACATACATTTTAAAAATAAAATTTAGACTGGGCGTGGTGACTCATATCCTAGCTACTCAGCAGGCTGAGGCAGGAGAATCACTTGAACCAGGGAGGCAGAGGTTGCAGTGAGCCGAGATAGCGCCATTGCCCTCCAGCCTGGGCAACAAGAATGAAACTCATCTCAAAAAAAAAAAACAAACAAAAAACACACACACAAAATCTGATTTCATTAACTGTTCGGGTGACTGGGTTTTGTAATGGCTACTTACTGTTCTATTATATGGATATATAATTATTTAACTTTTTAAATTTGTATTTTGTTATGTGTATGCTGAATACATTTTTCTGCACTAGTGGGTTATTTTACTTAAATTCCTGGAAGTGAAAAAACAGTTTATGTGTATGTGTATGAATTTTTCGATAATGTATAGACATCCAGATTACCTTCAGGAAATCTTACAGCACTTTATGCTCCAAACTAGAGTTTTCTTTAGGTTTCCTTTCCCACTTTTGCCAACACTGGATGTTATCATTCTTTTAAAGTTTTTTTTTTTTTTTTTTGTATTTCAGTTGACAAAAAATACTGTCTCATTGCTTTACTGTTTATTCAATTATTTGTGAGATAAAGCGTTCTCCTTTACTTAACTCTGTTTATTCATTCATTGACCATTTTTCTCTTGGAGTGTCTTTTTTAAAAATTATTGGATGGAAGCATCATAATATTAAGAAGATCAGGCCGGGCGCAGTGGCTTACGCCTGTAATCCCGCACTTTGGGAGGCCGAGGGCGATCACGAGGTCAGGAGATAGAAACCATCCTGGCCAACATGTTGAAACCCCGTCTCTAAATCAAGACCATCCTGGCTAACATGGTGAAACCCCGTCTCTACTAAAAAAAAATAAAGAAAAATCAGCTGGGCATGGTGGTGGTTGCCTGTGGTTCCAGCTACTCGGAGGCTGAAGGCAGGAGAATGACCTGAACCCGGGAGCAGAGCTTGCAGTGAGCAGAGATCATCCACTGCACTTCAGCCTGGTGACAGATATGAGACTCCGTCTCAAAAAAAAAAAAAAGATCAGTATTATTTCATAATTTACATTTAGCTTTTTAAGTTCATTTGAAATAGTTTTGATATACAGTAAGAGAAAGACTGTAATTTTTTAAACACCTATTTAACCAGTTATCCTCTGAAGAAGAAATTTCAATTTTATCTTCAAAGTTATTATAGTAAAATGGACTTTTTGGGTATACATGTCTATGAATTCTTTTTTTTTTTTAAATTTTTTAAATTTTTTTATTTTTTGAGACAGAGTCCTCGCTCTGTCGCCCCTGGAGTGCCTGGCGGATCCAGCTCACTGCAAGCCCGCTCCCGGTTTACACCATTCTTGCCTTAGCCTCCCCGAGTAGCCTGGGACTAACAGACGCCCGACACCTCGCCCAGCTAGTTTTTGTATTTTTTAGTAGAGACGGGTTCACAGTGTTAGCAGGATGGTCCCTCGATCTCCTGACCTCGTGATCCGCCCGTCTCGGCCTCCCAAAGTGCTGGGATTACAGGCTTGAGCCACCGCGCCCGGCCCATGTCTATGAATTCTAAAACATGTTTCGATTTCTGTAACTACCACCACAATTAGGATACAGAACAATTCCATCCCAAAAACTCCCTCATACTCTTCCTTTATAGTCACCTCTTCCTCACCCACAACCCCGGCAATCACTAATCTCTTCTTCACTGTAGTTTTGTCGTGTGTATGTGTGTGTTTGTGTTTATGTGTGTTTTGTTTATTATTTGTAGTTTTGTCTTTTTGAGAGTGTCATATAGATGGATTCATATAGTAGGTAACTGACTTCTTTCACTCAGCATAGTGCTTTTGAGATTCATCCAAGTTGTGTGTATCTCAGGAGTTTGTTCATTTACTATTTCTGGGTAATATTTTACTTTATGGGTGTGCTAAAGTTTGCTTATCCATTCACTCATTGGAGGACACTTGGGTTTTTGCAGTTTTTGGCAATTATGATTAGAACTGCTGTAAACATTTGTGTACGGGTTTTTGTGTGAACATACGTTTTCATTTCTTTACAGTAAAATACCCAGGAATTGGGTTGCTGTGATGTATGCTAGGTGTATATTTAACTTTACGAAACACTGCCAAACCATTTTTCAGAATGCATGTACTGTTTTGCATTCCCAACAGCAATTTATGAGAATTCCAGTTCTCCATCCTCACTAGCATTTGATAGTATCACTATTTATTATTTTAGCTATTCTAATAGCTGTGTAGTGACATCTTATTGTGGTTTTAATTTACATTTCTTTAATGGCTAATGGTGTTGAACATTAGTTCATGTGCTTTTTTTGCCATCCTTTTATTATCTTTGGTGAGGTGTCTGTTCATGTCTTTTGCCTGTCTTACAATTGGGTGGTTTGGCGGGGTGCAGCGTCCCATGCCTGTAATCCCAGCACTTTGGGAGATGGAGGTGGGTGGATCACTTTAGGCCAGGAGTTTGAGACGAGCCTTGCCAACAGGTCGAAATCCCATCTCTACTAAAAATACAAAAATTAGCCAGGCACGGTGGCGTACATCTGTAATCCCAACTACTCAGGAGGCTGAGGCACGAGAATCACTTGAACCCAGGAGATGGAGGTTGCAGTGAGCCAAGATGGTGCCACTGCACTCCAGCCTGGGTGACAGTGAGACTGTCTCAACAAACAACAACAATTGGGTTTTTTTCTTTTCTTTTCTTTCCTTTTCTTTCTTTTTTTTTTTTTTGAGATGGAGTCTCGCCCTTTTGCCCAGGCTGGAGTTCCATGGCCTGATCTTGGCTCACTGCAACCTCTGCCTCCCGGGTTCAAGCGATTCTCTTGGCACAGCCTCCCAAGTAGCTGGGATTACAGGCACGTGTCACCATGCCCGGCTAATTTTTTGTATCTTTAGTAGAGACAGGGTTTCACCGTATTGGCCAGGCTGGTCTTGAACTCCTGAGCTCGTGATCCACCTGCCTCAGCCTCCCAAAGTGCTGGGATTACAGGTGTGAGCTATCACGCCCAGCCGGATTGTTTTCTTAATCACTGAGTTTTTAGGGTTCTTTATATATATATTGTTGATACAAGTCCTTTCGAGTATATGTGATTTGCAGATATTTTCTCCTAATCTGTAGCTTGTCTTTTCATTCTCTTCTTCATGTCTTTTGTAGAGCAAAAGTTTTAAATTTTGATAAAGACTAGTTTATTGATTTTTTTTTTTTTTGTATGGGTTGTACTCTTGATGTTATGCCTAAAAAATCTTTTTGGCCGGGCGCGGTGGCTCAAGCCTGTAATCCCAGCACTTTGGGAGGCTGAGACGGGCGGATCACGAGGTCAGGAGATCGAGACCATCCTGGCTGACGCGGTGAAACCCCGTCTCTACTAAAAAATACAAAAAACTAGCCGGGCGAGGTGGCG